ATCGGCGAGCTCCCGAGACGGCGGGCAGGCGCCGGGCTGCGGTCCGGGCCGTGGAAACGTGACATCCGGGGACATTTTGTCCCCAGGATACTGCCAAAGCAACGCCCCGGGGACGAAGCAGTCCAGAACACAAGCACTAGGAGCACTTCCGCGGGGCCAGGAGTCACAGCCTGGGATAGAAGGCCTTTAAGAAGGGAGGCCCTGGTCGACACCCCAGACTTTGGGTTGGAACCTCAGAACGCTTCCCCGAGGAATGCAGGTGGCCTGGGAACTGACCAGCTGCTCAAGGCCCGGAGCCCAGGCCTCTCAGTCCTGGTGGTTGGACGACGGTGACCCCGGATGGGATGGCTGAGCCCTCGGATGCCAGGCAGGGCCACCGCCTCTCCGAGGGACAGCATCACACTCGGCCTCTATGTCCAAGAACAAACTTTCAAAGACAGGCAGCCGCCACTTTGCTCGGTTCTGCGATGCACACAGTTTAAATGCCGCGGGAAGTTAAACCACAGCAGCCCCCCAACAGCACGGCTACGTCCGTTACCGTGTGCGGTTGTGGCCGCTCCCCAGCCCACCACTCACCGCCTGGACAGCCTGTGCACGGGGCCCGGCGGCCGGTCCCCTCGCTGCTTTCAGAGTCGGGCTGTGATGGTCCCGGTGCATCTGCCGTTCAGGCCACAGCAGAGCCGGTCATCACAGCCTCCTGGCCTCCCAGTAACGTTTTTTAGAGATGGGTGCGTGCAGGAGGAGCGGGCTGACAAAGATGAAAACGCAGAAGATAAGTGAGACGTGATGATGCCAGAAATAAAATTCTAATCCAACTTATTAGAAAAATAGCTGCCCCTGGGAACGTGGACGCTCCGCCTGCGGGAGGCGCTGGACCCACCGCGGAGGACCTCGGTAGATGCGACTTTCACCGTAAACGAGACGAAGGTGTCCTGGAGGGAGCCCACCACTCGGTGCAGGGCCAACACCCAACCAGCTGAGCCACAGCGGCCAGGGCCACGTGATGTCTTTTATGGCCTGGCACCGCCATTCACATCCAGACGGTGCAACAGGACACACAACACAACCAACCAAGCATCTGAGGCAAGAAGACCTCATGAGCCCGCAGAAATAACAGGTGATAGAAACAGACCCTCACGATTCTAACTCTGAGACTTAGGAAATGCAAACTTTGAGAGAAACTTGCTTACTATATTCAAGAAGAGGAAAGATAAGATTGGGAATTTGGTAGAGTATGAGAAATTGTACTTTTTACAAAGGGCATTGATTTGGAAAATCAAGTAGAAATTATAAAACTGAAAAAACACAACTGGAATCAAGTACTCTGCAGATAGATATAACAGCAGAGTAGACACGACTGATGAGGGGATTGGTGAACCATGACAGGTCAGAAGGTACTATCTAAAGTGATGCACGAAGGGACTAAGGAAGGACTGTGATGACAGAGCCTCCAGCGAGCAGTTCCAATGTGCATTGATTGGAGGCCTAAGGCAGAGAGAGAGAGAGAGAGAGAGAGAGAGAGAGAAGCAATATTTGAGGAGATAGTGGTTGAAGTTTTTCCAACATTGGTGACATCAGATCGCAAGTTCAAGAATCCTAAAGAACTCCTAGCAGTTAAAAACAGAAAGTCTATACTGAGACACATCCTTGTAAAACTGCTGGGGAAAAACAAAGGCAGAGGTCATCTTTAAAGAAGCTAAAGGTAAAAAAAAACAAAAAAAAAACACCCAATGTTTCCCGAGGAGCACCAGTTCAGAGAACATTTCTCAGCCAGAACAGGAGAAGCCGGAGGACGAGAAGCATCTCCGTGTGCTGAGAGCTGGGTTTCTCCCGGGAATACAAGGTTCGCTCAACATGTAAAAGCCGTGGAGCGTCGGTAAACACGAAGTGCTTTGGGACAAAAATGCACGAGACCTGTACAGTGAAATCTGCGAAACATTGCCGAGAGAAATGTGAAAAGACCCGATCAAAGGCCGGCCGTGCCACGCTCGGGAACCGGAAGACTCGGTATCAGTAGGCGGGCAGTTCCTCCCAAGACGGTTACGGATTCCAAGCGATCAGGATCGCGCCTCAGTCTGCCTGCTGGTAGAATTCTACGAGCTAATTCTAACGTTACATGGAAATGGGAGGCTCTCATGTGGGTAAAACAACTTTGAACACGAGCATCGTTGGAGGACTTAAGACTACCTGATTTCAAGAATTATTGTAGAGCCCGCCGGCGTGGCTCAGTGGTTGAGTGTCAACCTATGAACCAGGAGGTCACAGTTTGATTCCCAGTCAAGGGCACATGCCTGGGTTGCAGGCTCTGATCCCCAATAGGGGGCGTGCAGGAGCCAGCCGATCTATGGTTCTTTCTCATCATTGGTGTTTCTCTCTCTCCCTTTCCCTCTGACATCAATAAAAATATATTATTTTAAAAAGAATTATTGTAGAGCTGCAGCAATCAAGACCATCTGGCATTGGTGCGAAAGTAGCCAAGTAGGTGAATGGAACAGAATAGCAAGTCCAGAAATGGGCCTGGTGTAGATGGTCCGTTGATTCTCTACAAGGTGAGGAGGCATAGCAGTGGGGAAAGGTCATCTTTTCAGCAAACAGTGCTGGGGTAATTGGGTGGCAGTATGCAAAACGGACCTCACCCTCATCTCACACCAGATTGAAAAGGAAGAAGAAGGAGAACTCACAGTGGCTCATGCACCTAATTGTAAGAGTTGAAACTATACCAGAAATCGCAGTGATTCGGGGCTTGGCAAAGATTACTTCTATATGATGCCAAAAGCATGAACGATAAAAGAAAGTGGGGCTTCATCAAAGCGATAAACCTCCTTATCAAAAGACACTTAAGAAAATAAAAAGGCAAGCACAGACTTAGAGAAGATATTTGCAAACCATATCCGACAAAGAACTTGTAGCTGGAATATATAAAGATCTCTTGGAATTCAATAAGACGGAGACAACCCAATTAATCATGAAAGCAAAGATCGGGAAAAATTGGGGTAAACTATTTAACGAAGGGCATTGGCTGGCCAGGAAGCCCATGAAAAGACGGCCCACATCACTGGTCGTTAGGAAAACGCACGTTAATGGTGTAGACGTCACTGTTGGCAGAGAGAGACCCGGGCACACTGACCGGAACGGCTAACATCAAGACAACCAACTGAGTGTGGCTGAGGAGGTGGGGTGGCAGGAACTCTCATACACTGACGGTGGGAACGTGAAAAGTACCGCCACTTGGGAAAACATTTTGGCAAATGGTACCTCTGATATCATTATGAAAAGTATCATATACCTGAAAAGGCTGCGCTGTATTCCAACTTTAAGACTCTCTGGAAAAGGCTACACTGTGGAGGCAGCACAAAGATGTGTGGTTGCCCGGGGTTAGGTGGAGGGATGAACAGGTGGAGCCCAGAGGGCTTTAGGGCAGGGAGCCTGCTCTGTGTGACACGGTGGTGATGGGTGCGTGTCATTATACATTTGTCCGAACCCACAGGATAAACAACACTGAGAGTGACCTAATCCAAACCCTGGACTTTGGTTAATGGCAATATTGACACTGGCTCATCAATAGTAACCGCTGCCCCAAACTAACGCCAGGTGCTATGGATAGGAAAACTGTGGAGCGGATGGAGGAGCATCACAGGGACTTTTTGTACTTTCTACTCAATTTTCCTGTAAATCTACAACTTCCCTAAATAATCTGCATATATAAAAGCCTAATATGCAAACTGTCCCCTCAGGAGGTCGACCGACCAGGAGTTCGATTGCTTGCTATGATGTGGGCTGACCACCAGGGGATGGTGCGGAATGAAGGAAGGCCCCGGCCAGCAGCTGGCAGCCAGGGAAGGGAGGCAGACGCTAGGGACCCTACCCATGCACGGATTCCGTGCACTGAGCCTCTAGTAGTCTCATAATTAAAAATTAAAGTTAGGATGTATATATTATACTAGAGGCCCGGTGCACGAATTCATGCACAGGTGGTGTCCCTCCCGGCCGATCGGGGCTGTCTTGCCCAGCCCAGTCAGGGCCAGCTGGGGGGAGGGACCGCGGGAGGTTGGCTGGTCGCTGGGGAGGGACTGCAGGAAGTTGGCTGTGAGAGCGCATTGACTACCAGGGGGCAGCTCCTGCGTTGAGCAGCTGCCCTCTGATGGTCCGTGCACGTCATAGCTACCGGCCGGTTGTCAGGTTGTAACAGTCGCTTAGGCTTTTATATATATAGATGCCTCAGAATAAGTCTAAAGACCTCTACTCAGAAAACGGATTACATTATTGGGAGACATGAAAAAGAGGCCAAATAAATGGATGGATGTACCATGTTCATGGAGGAGACAAGCTGGCATTGGAGAGGGACCTGTTCTCTTTAGAAAGGCCTCGCGTGCCACACGAGGGATGCTGGCACCCAACACGACGTGTTTAAGTGAAAGGTGTGGACTCTCAGACTGATTACAGATGGTGTCGGTGACCCTGCAGCCCCTCAATGCACCCATCGCCCTCAACCCATTGCACATGCCCCAACCAGGGCCCAGATTGGGGAGGAGCCTGCAACCCAGGTACATGCCCTTGACTGGAATCGAACCCGGGACCCTTTGGTCCGCAGGCCGACGCTCTATCCACTGAGCGAAACTGGCCAGGGCTTAGGTCCACTAATTTAAATAATGCGAGGGTTTTTGTATGAGAAAGGGAGCAGTGCTCAGAACGGGTGCTAGACTCAATGGGTCGGTATTTACTGAACACCCGCCCGTGTGGGAGCGGAGGGTGGGCAGCGGGAACTCTTGTTAAGGAGAGAGATCTGTGGGCAGAAAAGGCCTGGCTGAACCCGTGCTGTGAGCTGTGGGGACACAGATGGACAGGGTCCTGCCCCGGGTGGATCCGGGCAGGCTTCCCGGAGGCAGTGGTACCTGGGCTTCCCCTGAAACGTGTGTGGATAGGAAGGGGATGGAGTGTGGAGGCTGGAAGGCATGCTGTGCGGTTGGAGAA